GTGCTCAATTTTTAGCAGCAAATCATAAATTACAAATGATGTTCTTTTATTGAGTTTTATTGATGGTGTAATTGTATTTTGTATGTAATTTGTAGTATTTTAATGTTATAATTTCGAACACATATATGAGTATGGGTTAATATTTTATATAAGTTTTCATAGCTTTTAAATTATGTTTACTTGCGTTTTATTGTACAGCGCTTTAGAGTTATATTATTAATATTTAGCGCTTTATAAATTCATATATTATTATTATTATTATAAAGCGCTTGCTGACACATAGACACTTTAAGGTATCAAGGGTTGGGACTGCATTGTGACTGTGAGGGATTAGGGGTTTCAACAAGACTGAGAAATGGAGGGATGAAGAACTTTCAGAGATTTATGTTCAAGCCATTTGTATTTTGATATTTGAATGTTTCTTAAGAGTGAGGTACTGCAGGTTAATTACCATTCTGATGAATTTACAGGTTAAAACAAAGTTTTATGATAAAGTGACAGGAGTATCAACATTTAGGATTGGTTGGACTTCAAAAGCTGCTGCCAATCAAAGAGCGGGAAGAGCTGGACGTATTGCACCAGGTCACTGTTACAGGTACAGAGAAAACTAGACTCACCTTAAAGAGGAGCTCATGTAGAACGATTGTAATGTCATTTTTTAAAAGTACATCTTTTAAATTTATATGTATTATAAAAACTAATTTAGAAAAAATAGAATGAACACACGCCTTGTTTCTTTAAAAAGCAGTTATTAGACTTTCTGTGCTTCGAATGTAAAAAAATATTGATTAAAAAAAAATGTTGTTTTTAAAAAAAGAAATAATATCAGAATTACAGTAAAAATGCCTATAACCACGTGTTAGGGACATAAATTTTGCTTCTTTATACCTTGTTAACGTAATTTGTTATATCTGTTAAGTTTACAATGCATTTTAATGTCAGGGGGAATAAAAATCACCTCTCTTTAAGCAGCAGTACAATATAAGATCAAACACCTAAAAGACCTATAGACAAAAAAAACCTGATTTCTGTAAGTTTGTTTAACTGTATACAGTCATGTGAATAAATTCTCAAGGATTGTGAACCCCCTTACAAGATATTGAACCCCTGCCCTTTCCATTTAAGAGGGAGGGGAATCAAAATATGACCATAAGATATTAAGTCCCCCTACCCTTTTAATTTAAGAGGGATGGGGGTTTAAAATATTATGGCCATAAAACACTATTTTGAACCCCCTCCCTCTTAAAATAACCTGGGTTCAAAATATCGCAAGGATCAATATATGATATGTCACAGTAATATATGGTTTTCCATGTAGTTTTGATTCTTTTACACTGTCTATAAGTCAGAATAGTCTATTAAACTGTGAAAACATCTCATACTTGTAATACATAGCAAATCAGAGCAGATTTGCTCCAAAATGGTTTTGAAGAATAGTTAAGGGGTTATGCTGAAAATAACTACCAAATCAATAAAAACAAACCTTTTTGAAATTGTATATGCCTTTTATTAGGTCACCTGAGTAAACTCAGGTGACCTATTGCTAGGGCTGTGCAATATTACCGGTATATCGGTATATTGCGGTATTATCCACCACGATAATATATCGCGATATGAAAATCAGATACCGGTATTTTACGATATTTATAAAAAGATATAAAAACCTCCTTTATTGTACAAACTGCTGAAATAATACTTGTAACTTCCCCAGGCCTTTTCAATCTAGTTAAAAAAATGATTCGTCAACTTTCAGACTGAGGCAGAGAGAGAGAGCGAGAGAGAGAGAGAGAGGAAGCTTTTCATTCACTGTCGCAATTTTAAATATCTTACTTTAAAATAAAATTAATAATTAATAAAAAGACTTTTAAATAAAATTATTAAGAAAGAAAATATATAAAACATTTCTACAGGGTGTAAACCATGTGTACTTTTGTTCTCAAAATCTCATGGAATCTACAAGATCGACGTCACGATGACGAATGTTAAGTTCGAGATACATATTACAAGTAAATGGCAATCCATGTTTTCATTGATACAGTGTTGCTTTTTGTTATTTTTTAACAAGTTTCATGCCATTTTAAACACCTTCATGCTATACCAGGAGCATGTATATTAAAACAACAGAAATAGGCCAATGCAGTTCCTGATCGTATGTCATAATGTGAAATTAGGTCGGGTCAGACTAAAACACTAAACGTCCGAAAATAGGTCACAATTTCTTTCTGGCTTTAATTTTATTCTGTGACCACATGAAATTTCCATATAGTATGTATTGTTTTAATTATTAAGTTAAATTTTATGCAATTTCAATAAAACACCCCCCCTCCCCCCAAAAAATGTATAAAGATTATATACAACTAGTATGCATTATCTTTTTTTTCAATTTGAAAATACATCAAATCAGTACAATTTGTTTTAATATTTTACTTGGTATTTGAATAAAAGTTATTATAATTATGTGTACGATTAATGTCTTATCCCCCGCCCCCTTTAAAATTTATAGATAAATTCAAATAGTCTTTGAACTTGACAGCATTTTAAACTTTCTGCACAAATTTATTAATGATAATTAATCTACAATATATCGCAATATATTGCAATATACAACTTTAAATATTGCAATATATCGCAATATGGTTTTCACTCGCAATACCCAACTCTACCTATTGCTATCTGTTTTCGTCTGTCGTCGTGTATCGTGCATCGTGTGTTAACATTTGAACATTTTCAGCTTCTTCTCTGAAACCTCTGCACCCATTTCAACCAAATTTGGCACAAAGCATCTATGGGAAAGGGAAACAAATATTGTGAATTTCATGGTTCCTGCCCGCCTGGGGCCTGAGGGGTGGGGCCAAAACCTCTAAAATTAGTGCAGTCTTTAAAAATCTTCTTCTTTACTCCTGGACATCAAGCAGTCAAACTGTTGGCAGGATTGTAATCAGCATTGAGTCCTCTACCAAAATTATGAAATTCATGGCCCTGGGGTCAGGGGTTCTAGTGCTAGGGCAGGGCTAAATAGATTATAAAGTGAAAATGCATAAATTATTTGAAAATCTTTTTCTCTGCTTCTGGGCATTAAATAAACTTATTGAATATATAGTTATGTTGAATAAGGCTGCCTCTACCAAAATTGTAAATTTCATGGCCCTGGGGTCAGGGGTTCTGAGGTGCTAGGGTGGGGCTCTATTGATTATATAGTGAAAATGCATAAATTCTTTGAAAATCTTCTTCTCTGCTCCTGGGCATTAAATAAACTAAGTACATAAATATGTTGTTAGGGTGGGGCTCTATAGATTAGATAGTGAAATTGCATATATTCTTTGAAAATCTTCAATCTTCTCTGCTCCTGGGTATTAAATAAACTAACCAAGTACATAGTTATGTTGAGTAAGGCTGCCTTTTCCAAAATTGTGAATGTCCTGGCCACTGGGTCAGGGGTTCTGGTGTTGGGTATGGCTCTATAGATGATATAGTGAAATTGCATTTATTCCTTGAAAATCTTCTTTTCTGCTCCTGGGCATTAAATAAACAAACCATGTACATAGTTATGTTGAATAAGGCTGCCTCTTGCCAATTTGTGAATTTTAGGGCCCCTGGGTCAGGGGTTCTGGTGTTAAGGTGGAGCTATAATGATTGTATAGTGAAATGCATGAATTCTTTGAACATCTTTTCCTTTGCTCCTGGTTAATATGCCAATGATCTAATTATAATTTAAGGCCAGCATTTTTTTTATTTTTAGGTTTGCAAAGCCGCCGCTCAAGTTTTTATACGCCCGTCTTAAAACGGGACGTATTATGTTATAGGCTTCATGTCCGTCCGTCCGTCCGTCTGTACGTCTGTCCATTCGTGTCCGGCTCATAACTTGAATACTATTAGGCCTAGGATTATCAAACTTTGTCAACTGATACTTCTTGGGTAGACGGTGTGTCGCACACAAAAGGTAGGTCGCTCTGACCTTTAATAAAGATGCTATAGCCAAATATGGAAAAATCCTGTCCGGCTCATAACTAGAAAACTATTAGACCTAGAGCTTTCAAACTTGGCAAAAGTATACATCTAAGGTAGAAGGTGTGTCGCGGGCTATTTCAAGGTCACTGTGACCTTTAATTTAAGTGATTTTTTTTTTTAAAAACTAAGTCTTTTAAATTTTGAATTTCATAATCCTAAAAAATGTAAAAATATAGTTGTATCCTTATTAAAAAATGTTAAATTAAGTAAAAAATTATTTTTTCATCATATACTTTACAGATATCTGTAACAAATGTTAATGTTTTGAGTGGAATTCCGTTTGTCCCATGGGCATAATTATCAAGCACTAGTACTGGTCAAGGAAAATTTTGATAGCAGAAATGTGCATGTCAAATTAGAGAGAAATTAATGAGTTTATTGTCGGGAGCTAACAGGCAAGAGCATCTCTAGATCTGATCATGGAGCTGTTATCTTAATTTATCTCTTGGGAGTTGGGCAAAAAGAAATGGCCTCATAGTTGCTTGTGTTAATTAAGAGTTCTTGATGGCTATAGTCCAGATAAAGATCTTTCAATTGGTGTAATTTAATTAAAACAAATTGATGTTTTAGTGCATGATTAAAACTAAATTAGTATTGTATAATATAATTAAAACTAATTATACATGTGTTCATTGAAAAAAAAATTACATTTCAATTTTTATATATTTGCAACAAATTGCAGTCATGTCTCACTTAGAATTTTATAGTCTAAAGAATAATTCATTTTTGATTTTTTTTTATTAGACCATGTAGACTGTAGCATTTCCATTATTTCATAAAATATGCAATAAACAATTTAAAGCTGCAGATGGATATTTGTTAAGCTCTAACACAGCTGTGTCAATCTGTTAATCAAGGTTACTTGATTTTCTTGCACCCCAACCAATTTATGATTATTGAACAATATTTGACGGGCGTATCATGCTGTGGCGGGGCACTTTATTGAATTTTCAGAAAAAAAAAATTTTCTTTCCGATGTCAAATTTGAGTCAGGATTGAGATTTCAAATTTTCGAGCTCGTACTTCTGGTTATAAGATGAACATGGGTAGTAAACAGATCTGCAAAGTTCATAGCAGCACCATGGCTTGGTTTAGTGTACAAATTTATTGATAGGAGTGCCATTCAAAACGTTTCACCCGTTCAGAGGACAAATAAAATGCTGACGACTTTGTTGCACAGTGACATGCTGGTGAGATAATTATGTATTCGTATACAAAAGTATCTGTCTGTAAATCATTTTCCTTCCACAGGCCCATGGTAGCTATTGGTAGCGACATTGCTTAGGTCTCTGTTATAGCTTACAGTCTAGGCATCATTCTTCAGAAAAGGATTGCTTAGGTATCAAGTAGATTTTATTTTTAGAACAATGTCTACACATTCACTTAACACTTATTAATAAATGAAGATTTATTGAGTTACAAAGAATTGATTTTTAAAAATATATATTGAACAACATCACAAAATTTAATAAAATGTTCTACTTTTCTATTTGTAACCATTATGTGTCCAGTGGCAAGGAGTCTGTTAGGATAGCGTAAAAGAGAAGCAAAAATGAATGTACAAATGTTAATAATTTAATTTATCTCCCCCCCAAAAATTGTTTTTCTTTTTATTTTCTCCTCCTATGCGACTTTTTCATTCTGATGTTTGCAACTAAATCTATAAATAAGAAAATACTGCCCTTATGATGAAGAAAGGTACCTTTATCAAAATGGATAATTTCAAGGCCCCTGGTCAGGGGTACCGGGGAGGGGAGGGGGGGGGGTTACTTTGTCTAAAAATAAATTTATGCTTTGAAATATGCTCTTTGATAAGCAATGGTGCCTCTTTTAAAATTGTGAATTTCATGGCTTTTGGATTAAAACACAAACCAAATTCAGTTGCTGGAAAGTTGTGTTGCATGATACTCAGGTGAGCTATAAGGCCCATGGGCCTCGTATCACCAAGAATAATCCATATAAATGCAAATTCAACGAATTTTCTCAATTTCTTCAAATTTACCTGTCATATTTACTGTAAACCAACTTTTATTTGCCAAGACTTTACCGTATTTGGCCGAGTATAATACGCATTAATGTAAAATATGCACCCCCCTTTTTGATTCTGAAACTGGGGGAAAAAAACGCAGTTCGGATGTATTATACACAATGGAAATTTTTAACAAGCGATGTTCTGAACTTTGAAAATCGGCGCGAAGATTAAATGTCAAAAATTTAGAGAACACACTTTTTTTCAAAATCATTTATAGTTTTCTTTTAATCCTAATTTCCATATCGCGGCAATCTGAAGAAAATTATTTATTCATTTTTTTTTCAACAAAGCACAAGATAATGTTGCGTAAAAGTACCAGGGTATTAACAGTTCTTTTAGCATATGGTGATTTTGAAATAATTCGTCGCCATAATCTTTTATTTCAACAAATCATGAAAAAACTGCAAGTTTTAACAGTTGTCATATTTAATTTTGGTTCTAGGTAATCATGCTGAAAATTAAATGTTACAATGCTTTAACAGGACATGAGGTCGAAACATCAAAGTATTAAAAAGACTACGATTTTCCTCTTCAGAATCTTCGCGGATATCTTATTTTCTACAGAGCATGAATAAATTATAACACTGAATTTTTAGCATACTTAATATTTCATTTGTCAACTCTCAATCATTTAAACATTAGAGGCCAATATGTATAAGATAAAGTAAAATTACATTTAACAAGTGTTTAATTGTTTAATGTGTTGCTCACACATACGAAAGGTCATAAACCGACCCCCTATTTTTACCAAAGAAAATAATCCTAGCAATTAAAAGGACAGTAAATAATCAGTGCTCTAACTGTAAAAACGTTGCTTTGGAGTCAATAGACAATTAATTGCCTGGAGGGGTGTTGAGAGGTAATTATCAAGTGACCAGCGCATGTGTTCACAACATTGGCTTCCTTTCATTGGGACGTATAGAGGGGTGTTTATGTTGCAGTGAATTTTCACTGAGTTATTTAAAACCTAAAATAAATTTTTATTTTATTGTATTTCATTAAAAAATGACTTTGTCTAGCAGATAAGGTACATGTGTACTATGATTACGGAAGCATGTGGCAAAGGAATGTGTGAACGTCTAAAAATAACATCGGTAATGGCGGCCTACGCGGAGACAATAAATATGCAGCTCAAATTACTTTTAACTTGCTTTTTCATGTCATTTTATTATCAAAAGGTTATGAAAATGACATTTTTAACAAGCATACTTTCTAACTATAACTAACGAAGTTTAAAATATGGCGATAAACAAAAGAAATTGCATATTAGTCTCTAGGTAATACTACGGTATGTACTTATAATAGCCATGTTTCACCTGAAAGAAAAACCTATCAAAATCCCATTGTGATGTAAAATACACACCCCTTTCTCACAGAAATTTATTTTAGGAAAAAAGTGCAGATTATATTCCGCCAAATATGGTATTTGCGATTTACTACGGGTAAACTACTTCTGACAATTTTCGGGGTTTAGCTTTTTTTATCTGTAGTTAATAGACATGTCCCACAGTGGGTTTTGGGACATGTGACATAAAGATCAACTCTTTACTTTGCAACTCTAGAGCAGATGCTCTAATCAGTGTGCCACATGGGCAACTGTCCTTAACGAAAGTGAAATAAGAGCATCTGAAGTACTATAAATGGTTTTAAAATAAATGTCAAATAATGAAATTTAAATTTTACAAAAAGGGGGTTAAGGTGGAAAAATACGTCTACTTCATGGGGGATTTGAAATAAAGTAAATCTTTCTTCTATAAGCCTGTAAGCTAGCTCTCAGTAGAAATTACAATACATTTTCTGTTGGCAATGACTATATGAATTCAATTCTGTGTGCTTATGTGGGATTTCATATAGTATTACCTATTATTTGTCAAACATGTCAAGTCTCAAGAACATTTGAATGTATGAGGCCAGTGGAAATCTGTGATTACTCAGGTGACCTTTCATTTGTTGATAATTTTCATCTTCAATCTGATTGCTTTGAAGTCTTTTTTTGACAGATTGTATTCATCAGCTGTGTTTAATGAAGACTTTGTGATGTTTTCCCCTGCTGAAATTACAAGAAGACCAGTGGATGATTTAATTTTGCAGATGAAGGCAAGCTCTTAAATAAATTCATTATTTTTTAGCTCAGTTGACAAAAGATCCATTTGGTCCTGCAGTTCTTCATGAAATTTTCCCCCTTGTAATATTTTGACTCTATATTGTTGCCCAACTTAACTCCCAAGGGACAAGATTTTTAACTTTAACTCTTCCAGCCATACTGTTCTTGAGAAGACTTTTAAAGATTTTTGCTATATATTTCAATGTAAAACTACATGGCCCACCCTACCCCTTGGGGCCATATGCATGATTTGAACAATTCCACATAAGTTTCATTTATGGCCAAATGGTGCTTGGTTGATTGATTGTGTATTGCTTAACGTCCCTCTCGAGAATTTTTCACTCATATGGAGACGTCACCGTATGCCGGTGAAGGGCTTCAAATTTTGACCTTTACTCTGCACTCAGCGCCATTGAGCAGTGAGGGATCTTTATCCAGCCAACGCCTGCCGCTGAACACGTGGCCTCGGTTTTTAAGGTCTCATCCGAAGGACCCACAACTTTCACTTCAAAGTGCCGAGCGCATGGCGAAGGAACAGTTGCTACCCATTTTATCGACTGGGTCAGTCGCGGCCGAGATACGAACTCACGACCTCCCGATCACGGAGCGAGCCCTCTACCGACTGAGCTACCATGAACGGTCAAATGGTTCTTGAGAAAAAAAAAATTATGACCCAACCGTATTTTTGCCTTTTGTCAATTATCTCCCTTTGGAAGTTTGTTCATTTACTTTAAAAATTTAAAATTCTCTCACCCAGGGAGGTTTTGTAACCAATTTGGTTAAAATTGACTTAGTCTGATTCTTGAGAAGAGTTTTTAGGTCACCTGAGTAAACTCAGGTGACCTATTGCTATCTGTTTTTGTCCGTCGTCGTTCGTCCTGCGTCGTGCGTTAACATTAGTACATTTTCAGCTTCTTCTCTGAAACCACTGAACCAATCACGTAACCAATCTCAACCAATTTTGGCATTTAGCATCTATGCGTGAAGGGGAACAAAATTTTTGAATTTCATGGTCCCTGCCCTCCTGGGGCCTGGGTGGTGGGGCCAAAACCACTAAAATTAGTGCAATCTTTAAAAATCTTCTTCTTTACTACTGGACATAAAGCAGTCAAACTGTTGGCATGATTGTTATCAGCATTTGAGTCCTCTACCAAAATTATGAAATTCATGGCCCCAGGGTCAGGGGTTCTTTGAAAATCTTCTTCTTTGCTCCTGAGTATTAAATAAACAAATTAAGTACATAGTTATGATGAGCAATAGTGCCTCTACCAAACTTATGAATTTCATGGCCCCAGGGTCAGGGGTTCTGGTGTTAGGATGGGGCTCTATAATGATTATATATTGAAAATACATTAATTCTTTGAAAATACCCTTCTCTGCTCCTGGGTATTAAGCAAATGAACTACGTATATATGATGAGCAAGGGCCTAATCTTCCAGAATTGTGAATTTCAAGGCCCCTGGGTAAGTGGTACCATGGGGGGGGGGGCTGTACTTATCTACTGAAAATGAATTGATTGATTGAAATCTGCTCCTTGGTATTAATCAAACATTTTTAATAAGCAAGTGTGCCTTTTCAAAAATTGTGCAATGTGTGGACCTAGGGTCAAGGGTTCTTGTGTGGTAGGGGCACTTCTGATTATTGCTGAATATTACTGATTATTAGTTGATATGCATTTTTTGTTCCCCTACCCTGCCTATGGGTATTAAGGCGGCTTGGGGGTCAACAAATTAAAAACAAATTAACCACCTGTATATAGTTATTTTTGATTATTTGTGTATTTCAGTACATTTGATTATTTTGGACAAGTATATTTTTATAAGGATATCTTCTTCTAAAGGAGATAAAAATAGTCTAAAAATGGCAACGACCACCCAGCCCCTTTAAGTAACCAAACTAAGCAATTACTAAGTTTATAGTTATGATTAGCAATGGTGCCAGCCTCTTTCAAATCCGTGAATGCCATAGCATCTACCTTAAAACATGAACCAAATTCAATCATTTGAAAGTTGTTGCATGATTCTGAGGTGACCTATAAGGCACATGGGCCTCTTGTTTTTTTTTTTTAGCTCACATGGGGTTATTAGATAAACTATATAAAATATATTTGAGTGTTCTTTTGAGATATTACAGGAGAATGTTTACCAAAAAGTAAGTCATGGTGACCTACTTTTGAAATTTTATTGTTACATTTAAATATCTCAGGTACTTACTGGCTTACAATCATCAAACTTTGTCAGTTGATGCATCTTGGGTCTTGGAGAATGTTGACCAAAAAGTAGGTCACTGTGACCTACTTTTGAAATTCTATGGCCATATTCAAGTATTTCAGGTACTTAGTGGCTTAGAATCATCAAACCTTTTCTGTTGATGCATCTTGGGTTTTCGCAGAACATCGACCCAAAAAAAGGTCATGGTGACCTACTTTTAGAATTTCATGGCTATATATGATTAGATATTTAAAAGTTTAGAATCATCAAATTTGTAAATTAATGCATCTTGGGTCCTTGAATATCAACCAAAAAGTAGGTCATGGTGACCTACTATTGAAAATTTATATCTTTTTTTTATTTATCTAAATTATTTTCAGGTTCTAATTGGAATCTACAATCTTTGTCAATTGATATATCTTAGGTCCTTTGAGCCATTCAAGGCCCTTGGGTCTCTTTTTTTTTGTTATTATATACTTCACTGAAATCTATAACAAAATATGTGATGTTACAAGAGAGATCCCATCTCTACAGTGGGTGTAATTATCTAGAAATGGTCAAGAAGAATTTTGAAAACAGAAAATGGCATGTTAAATAAAAGAGAAAATGTTGGCTTAAGTATGACGATCTAACTCTCACAAATATGAAAGATTGGGGATGGGGTCAGATGGGCATTTGTCAATCTCTTAACACAACCAGTTGAAGATCTACATGTACAGTAAAACTCGGTTAGTACGAACATGGATATTGCGAATTCACGGATATAGCGAAGTTATCTTAGATCCCCAGTTATATAAATTTAACAAATTTCTTATACGGATATAACGAATTACGGATATAGCAAAGTAATTTCTCAGGTCCCAGTGACTTCGTTATAACCGAGTTTTACTGTATATTATACTACATATGCTTGTTATAATTAATGCCTACACCACAGGAGATGTATAAACAAATATTATATGGTTTGGAAAAATCATGGAAATCCTATATCCAAGTTGACATGATTTTCTTGCACTCTAAACTGTTAATATGATAATTAAACAATAGTTTAACTGCTGTATCATGCTGTGGCAGGGCACTTTATTTTTAGCTCTACTGGTCAGAGACCAGAAGAGCTTATGCAATAGTAATGCATCCGGCGTCTGTTTGTCCAGCTGTCTGTCTGTCTGTAAACAATTTTTCAAAATGCTACTCCTCCTACACTTTTGGTCTGATTTCAATATAACTTGGCACACAAGTAGACTATACAAAGATACATGATTCCATGTATCGTTTTTTTGATTTCGATTAACGATGTTGCTGTGGTTACTAAAAATAGAAATTTATCTGAAATTGTTTCAAAATGCTATTCCTCCTACAGTTTTGGTCTGGTTTAATGTAACTTGGCACACAAGTAGACTACACTAAGATACATAATTCTGTGTATCGGTAAAAATAGAAATTTCTGTGAAACTCTTTCAAAATGCTACTCCAACTACAGTTTTAGTCTGATTTCAATATAACTTGGCACACAAGTAGATTACATTAAGGTACATAATTCTGTTTATCCCACTTCAGACAAATTTGTAGATTACTGATTGGATAAAAGCTAATCACATGACGCCCTGAAATTTTCCGTATTACGTGGCCGTCGAGGAGTAATATGAAAATTGGTCACATGATTCCCTTCGAAGCGTTGTTATTGTAAATAAAAATGGCGGCTAAGAAACAGTTTACGTAGGTAGTTTAGTTAAATTTCTTGTTACCGTAACGATATTTTATGTTGATTGTTATTGGATTAAATCTTAATATTTCCATAATATGCACAAACATTTTTTTTTATATTGAAAAAGGTCTTCAGCGGGATAAATTCATAACACAGTCAGTTAGTGACCTAATACAGATTCATACAGGGTGTGAAATGGAAATCTGTATTGGGACTTGGCTTTGCCTCGCCCAATACGGATTTCCATTTCACACCCTGTATGAATCCGTATTAAGTCACTAACTGACTGTGTAACTAATAGTATCGGTTTTTTGGTCACCTGAGCCAAAGGCTCAAGTGAGCTTTTCTGATCACATTTTGTCCATCGTCGGTCTGTCTGTCCTTCCGTCTGTAAACTTTTCACATTTTTGACTTCTTCTCAAGAACCAATGGGCCAATTTTAACCAAACTTGGTACAAAGCATCCTTGGATGAAGAGGAGTTTAAATTTTTAAAATGAAGGACCAAGTCCCCGTACAAATGGAGATAATCAAGAAAAGACAAAAATAGGAAGCAGTCATTAAAAAATCTTCTTCTCAAGAACCACTGGGCCAGGAAAGCTTAAACTTATGCGGAAACGTCCTTGGTTAATGTACATGTTAAATTGTTAAAATCATCACCTTCGAGGGTAGAGTGAGCCACAATAAGGAATCCAAGTTTTACATAGAAATGTATAGAACAAATCTTTAAAAATCTTCTTCTCAAAAACCACTGGGTCAGGAAAGCTGAAACTTTTGTGGAAGCATCATTGGGTAGTGTAGATATTAAATTGTGAAAATAATGACCCCCGGGAATAGGGCAGGGCCACAATAGGGAATTCCAAGTTTTACATAGAAATGTATAGAACAAATCTTCAAAAATCTTCTTCTCAAGAACCACTGGGCCAGGAAAGCTGAAACTTATGTGGAAGCATCCTTGGGTAGTGTAGATATTAAATTGTTAAAGTTGTGACCCCCAGGGGTAGGGCAGGACCACAATAGGGAATCCAAGTTTTACAGATATATTTAGGAAAAATCTTTTAAGAATCTTCTCAAAAACCACTGAGCCAGGAAAGCTGAAACTTATGTGAAGGCATCCTGCATGGGGTAGTGTAGATTCTAAAGTATTAAAATCATGAAAGGGAAGGGGGTAGGGGGGCACGATAGGTATAGCAAGAGGTGAAATCTGGTAAAGAACGGCATCACCCAAGTTACTCAGGTGAGCGATGTGGCCCATGGGCCTCTTGTAATTTCAATGAAAGGTGTTGCTGTGGTTACTAAAAATAAAAATTTCTGTAAAATACTTTCAAAATGCTACCCCAAATACAGTTTTAGTCTGATTATAATATAATGTGGCATGCAAGTATACTACACTATGAACATAGAGAGACTTAATCAAGGATCATTATTCTATTTATTGCTGTTGTAAAGTTTCAATTCCCAACTGCTACATTTCTCTTCCTTTGCTGTAAGTACAGATTAGTAGAGCTTTAGTCTCGACAGAGACTTCTGGTTATTGAAACATTTCAACATGACATATTTTCAATTTTTAATGGAAACCAGTCTTCACTTGCTAGTAGGAGACTATTATATGCCACAGCATTACAATTTTTGGCAAGCATTTTGAATTTCACTGCCTTTGTACGAAACTAATGTCATTTTAACAAAAAATTTTTGCGTGACTGTACATATTAAGGAGAAATAATTTGCTGATGAAACAATGCAGGGCAATGTCTACTCTAACTCAGGTGATTATTGTGGCCCATTATTCTCTTATATATGTATCAATTTTTGTTTTACTTCTTCTTTCATCTTCAGGATATGAACATCGATAAAGTAATCAATTTTCCGTATCCAACTCCTCCTGATGCAGAACAGATCAAGGTAAGGAAAATATTGACTCAAAATGGTTATTATTGAGTTGAAAGTCTAATAAATCCTTCTCCCATTAACCCATCATGAAAGTAAAACATATTATTATACCTTATATCGGTCTGTCGGTCCACTTAGTTTCCATTCATTTTCTTCACAACTGTTGCACATACTGAAATGAAAGAGCTAAAGCCACAAATCATCAATATCTGCCTTTAATTTAAGACAAAATTTAAGTTTGAAATCACAAAGCCTATCATATGTTATTTTGTAGGGCACAATGTCATGGTATGCTACATACAATTTTTGGCTATCTTTGGCACATGCGCAGGAACAAATATACCTATGAAGTTAAAAACTGCTTAAAAACGCCGATTTTACGGCAGTTATTTCGAAATTTGAATGTGCATGGCCACACTCAAGTACCCTTTCCAAACTTTGCATCATAAAAATATTACATATATGCACCTTTATGCAAAATATCTTAGAGGTACTCGCGTGTGACCAATATGAATTTTACATTTTATGAATGTTGAGCTTTCAGAAATTAAAGCAAGGTCCTCAATTTTAATCGTAATTATAAGTTCATCATATGCGTAAGTGCCCTAAATAAGTTATGAGTATATCAGATTTATTCTTGATAATTATTTAATACCTAATTTGTCAGTAATTTTGTGATAGAGTGTCTTAAATTGATTTATGTCATGTGTTATTTCATGTAAAATTTAAAATTACGCTCGTTTCATTCATGCTTACGTAGATCAATGATGACATCATAATGTAACATTCATGACGTCTTTTGCATTTTAGCATAAATAATTCGAAGAAGTTTGTCAAAAAAATTTATAATTAGAAAAAAGTGACTGTTGAGAATTGATTTCTGTAGAGTGTCCAATTTCTTGCCAGCAGTTGATTGAACGTAATACCTTGTTTTGAATCTTTTTATTAAGATTTAAAAAAAGCCTAATCCGAAGTTGATATCTAAAATACACGCAACAATTTGATCTATATGCATTCTAGGATACATAAAAAGTAAATAGTTTTGTTAGTTTACACACTGATATTTAGGTCACCTGAGTAACTCAGGTGACCTGTTGCATCCTTTTTCGTCCGTCAGCGTGTGTCGTGTGTTTTTTATAGATATATCAGCTGAATATCTAGGTCAAGTTTTGTTTTGGGTATGACCGCGCCATTTTTGACAGAGCTATGCCCCTTGGACTTAGAAAAATTCCAATTATTTGCAGTTTCCGTTCATTTTCTTCACATAGGGTTGCACATACTAAAATGAAATTTAGTATACAGATTTATCAGATGAATATCTAGGTCAAGTTCTGTTTTGGGTATGGTTGCACCATTTTTGACAGAGTTATGCCCTTTCGGACTTAGAAAAATTCCAATGTCGGGGGAGGGGCGGCATAAGTGTTTTACAAACATCTCCCGTTTTTATTGTTATTTTGCAAAAAAATTATGCAATTTAAAAAAGCGTATTTACAATTGATCATTAAGAAATTATGTACATGTGTAATATTTTAGGTTGTAAATGTTTTTTCAGGCTGCTGAGAAATTGCTGATATCATTAGGGGCTCTTGCTGTCAAACATGCACAGAAACCTTTGGTCCTTAAGGGAAGAAAGAGCCCAGTAGAGCCAGTTAGCCAAATAACTTCCCTGGGGAGAGCCATGGCCTGCTTCCCTGTGTCTCCCCGCTATGCAAAGATGATGTTATTGGGACATCAGCAAGATCTCCTGCCTTATGTTGTTGCCATAGTTGCAGCTCTCTCTGTTGATGAGGTGTTTGTGGAATTTCATAAGGCAGCAACTGAGGATGTAATCGTTTGAGGGTTTTTTTGTTTATGTTTTTAGCTTTTAGCATTATTTTATGATTTAATTTGTTATCTTTTTTTGCTCACCTGAGCTGAAAGCTCAAGTGAGCTTTTCTGATCACAATTTGCCCATCGTTCATTCATCCGTCAGTTTGTCCATCTGTCTATAAACTTTCACATTTTCGACTCCTTCTCCAGAACCACTAGGCCAAATTCAACCAAACTTGCCACAAAGCATTCTTGGGTGAAAGGGATTCAAGTTTATTTAAATGAAGGGCCACGCCTTTATTCAAGGGGATATAGGTCAGAAATAGTGAAAATTTGTTTTAAAAATCTTCTTCTCAAGAACATCTGTGCCAGGAAAGATAAAGCTCATAGGGAAACATCCTCAGGTAGTGTAGATTCAAGTTTGTTCAAATCATGACTCCTGGGGGTATGGCGGAGCAACAATGGCCAGTCAAAGTTTTACATAGAAATATATAGAAAAATTCTTTAAAAATCTTCTTCTCAGGAATAGCAAAGCCATGATTAGTCATATTTTTATGGAAACATCCTCAGGTAGTGCAGATTCAAGTTTATTAAAACCATGACCCCCGGGGCTAAGGCTAGGCCACAATGGCTAATCAAAGTTTTACATAGAAATGTATAAGAAAATCTTTTAAAATCTTCTCAAGAATAGCAAAGCTATGATTAGTCAATTCATATTTATATGTAAGCATCCTCAGGTAGTGTAAATTCAAGTTTGTTCAAATCATGACCCACGGGGGTAGGGCAGGGCCACAATGGCCGATCAAAGTTTTACATAGAAATATATAGAAAAATTCTTTCAAAATCTTCTTCTCAAGAATAGCAAAACTATGTTTTATAGTTATATTTATTTGGAAGCATTCTCATGTAGTGTAGAATCAAGTTTGTTCAAGTTTGTTCACGGACATACCCCTGGATGTAGAGCAAGATCACATTGTAATTTCAAATGTAAAGGGCAATAAAGCCACAGGTAGTCAAAGAAATATACAAGCATCCTTAGTTTGTGTAGATTTAAGTTTGTTCAAATCATACCCACTCCCATTTAAGGATTGATTGGGACCACTTTTGGGTTTGAACTTTTCAATAATAAACTGATTCCTTGCTTAGTGGAGCGATGTGGCCCATGGGCCTATTGTTATTTAAATACTATCTTTTGAAAAAATAAAAGGCCAAACTGAGTAGCATTCACATGAAAGAAATATGGAGATATTGAACAGTATTTAAGCTCATGTAAGTCCATTCAGACAATACAAGATTAAAGCAAACATGGACCTTTAAAATGTCAGAGGTAGGGACATGAAGGAGCACAGAAAGGTGGAAAGACCTAATAAAACCCCAGTAAATTAAGGAACAATTGGAGACATTTCCCCTTTTTCAAGTGTTTTCATATCATTTAAGTAAAAAAAATTAGAAGAAAAATGCCCAATAAAAAAAAAAATAATTATAAACTTTGTTCCTCCAGCAGGACTCGAATTCGTAACCTTTGGCATGAAAGACAGAAAAATATACCAAGCCAGGTGAATTTTATTAGGAAAAGCTAAATGGTAAAAATCAGCCTATGTGATATTGCTAATTTTTTGTCATTTTGATTTTCCTCTTAAAATTCACCTGGCTTGGTATATTTTTCTAAGGTTTATATTACAATTTTAGCGCCAAGATAACATGTTCTGAAAATTGTTTTCACCTGTAAACCTTTACTGAATGTGATTTGTCTATATTTGTTTTTTCATTGAAATATTACTAATATTTTCCAAGTCTTTTTCATATTCCAGTTCTTAGGAGAAAAAATTCTAAGAACCATCCACATTTCTAAACTTGTGACATGATTTTAAACCTTTTTCAAAGAAAAAATTTGTTTATATCATCTGTCCTTAAGGTCAAAAAACATGTTTTATTTTTTGGATTGTGGGCTGTGCTCATATTTTAATTCTTTGCTGAAGGTAGTCAAATATGCATGTTTTCTGCAAATTTCAAGAACCTTGCAATTTCACAAACCTGTTTTCCAATATCTGAATTCTCAAAACGAAATTTTATTATAGAAAATGAAAGCACCAAGTGTCTACTTTATTATGACATATAAAATGGGAGAGAAGGTGGTAGTTAATTATTAGATGCAAGTACAGGGCCAATTTATGCATAAGATGGCTCTTGCTCTTTAAAAATTTTCGCATTCAGTTTGACAAAATATGGTGAACTAATAAGTAAGATTGAATAAGCATCTCTATTTGAATGGAATTGATTGTTACTAGCATAGATTAAATTTGAGACATGTATTTCAGGAAGAAAAAGGTGTCGCTGAGAGCAAAGAAATTCATTTGATAGGAAAATCACCATTTTTCACGTTTATTCGATTTAAGCTGATCGACACAAATGCTTAAAAACTCATTATTTTCATCTATGTACGAATTGTTTCAAACCAACTATAGACATATTACGCTATATTTCCAGCATGCTAGAGGTTCATCACAAGATACTTTTGACTTGCCATAACTTTTTAAACGTTAATGATAGAGTCTTCAGATTTGATATGCATAACTCTACTTTCAACTGACACTAAGGTCATTGACCTTGTGACCTTTACAGTAATACTGTGACCTTTATGCTAAAAATGGGTTTTTGATCTTTTCCATTACTTTTGAACCATAGGTGATAGAGTCCTCATATCTGGTATGTTTACTCCGATTATTATGCTCTTTCTAATGATGCCAATTTCAATGACCTTGTGACCTTGACTGTGACCTATATGCTGAAAATAGCTTTTTCGAACTTTCCTCATTATTTTTTAACCATAGGAGATAGAGACTTCATATTTTGTATCCATACTCTACTAATTATGTGCTTTTAAATGCCAACAAGGTCAATGATCTTGTGGCCTTGACTGTAACCTATATGTTAAAAATAGCTTTTTTGAACTTTTGTCATAACTTTTGAACCATAGTAGATAGGGACTTCATATTTGGTTTGCATACTCCACTAATTAAGTGCTTTCAAATGACACTAAGGGCAATGATCGTGTGACCTTGACTGTGACTTGTATGCTAAAAATTGCTTTTTTGAACATTGTTGCTGCCTGGCGCATAGTGTTTCACAAACACATCTTGTTAAATATGTATTTGGTCAGTATATGGTATGTTTAAAAACTGTGCTATCGGAGACCTGTACATGTCGAAAACCAGGCTAGAAAGTCACTGAAGTGTAATAAATGCTCCAGGTTTTATATAGCAAGTACAGGTGTAGCGAATGAATTTCAAATAATTATGAGAGAATATTTAAGAAATATAGGAGAAAAAGGGCATACTGGGATGTAGCAAGTTGTACAAAGATGAAAAATAAGGCCTATTTAAGAGTTTATTTCAGCTTTAAATCTAAAAAAAAATTTAAATTAATCCCACATACTAGAGAAAGTAAGAATTAATGCTTGGTATTATTGCCATGTACCCCTACCTTTGACACATATATAATAAAAATATATACCACTGGAGAGAAGAAATTTGATATTTGTAAAATATTTCTTGTGCTTTCATTAATTCTTGATGTTTTGAATGTATATGCAAATTTTCATGGGAAGACATTCATTAGAAAGAAAAATATACTCCATGTGTCTCAATATTTCTTAACTGCTCTTGTATGCCATTTTGCAACAGGAAGTAAAATCATAAAAAAATGATGAAAGTTTCATAAAAATCCAGTGAACCATTACTGAGATACAATTATAGACGGGTCTTCTGTTGAAGATGGAAGCTAGACCCTAATAATAATAAAAGTGAGAAAGAAATCTAAGAATAATAGAAAGATCTTCTGCTGAAGACAGAAGATAATAAAAATAATCTTAATAATTAGAATCAGTTGTGGAGTTTGAGTAATAAGATTCTTTTATTTAATTTCAGAATGTTGAATTTCAAGAGAAACTGAAGTATATGACACAAATGAAAAGGATATGGGCTGGTTCAGTAAGTATGGAGGATTGAGTGTTTTTTGATGCAGTTTTAGCTTCTTGTCTAGAAAAATGGGTAATTTCAACCAAACTTGCCACAAAGTATCCTTTGATAGTGGTTTAAGATGTATTATGTTCTTTTCTTATTTTAATTTCATTAGATGACATTTGAATTATTTATTGAACGACTCTCATATATGGAAACATTCTCAGAGTAGATTCAAGTTGTTCATTATCCCCTGGGGTAGGGTAAAATGAAAGTTCCGGATTTTTATGGGAAAGAGTCACAGTAAGTCAAAGAGGTATTTTTGCGCAAGATGGTTTGATATTAATTAATATATACATTTGTGGTATCTCTCCATTATATAGACATACAGAGAGAAAATATCTTCAATTCTGTATGAAGTTTGTCAGAGGTCAGAGGTCAATACGTGACCTAATCACACGGCGCAATACTATCTACGGTACATAAATTATAAAATGACCTGCTCTACTTGCTTTTCATGTATAAAAATGAATAAAATAAGCAAGTAAAATGATAATTATTTTATTTTAAATGTAAACAAGTATTTCATACAGTTTTTGGGCTATCGATTCAACCTGTGTACGTAGAGGAAACTAGGAGCCTAGCGTTTGTTTACATTTTCTTCACTTTTGTCAGCTGCACAGTCTCTAACGTTCATCCTTATCTTTTGGATAGACCTTTGGTTAAATTTTCATGATAAACTTTTATTTTATCTTTAAATTTTACTCACGATAAATGTGTAAATCTGTTGGAAATTATCTTTGCAATCATGCCATGAACAGCTGCAAAACACCTCGGCGTTTTCGTAGTTTAATGTAAAGCTGTCGCAAGTGTCTCCGTGTTTACCAGTGTTTTACGATAAGTATGCCTTTAGTTACTGAAACCGTGGAATATTTTTGATCAAATTGCAAATTAACTTGCGCGGACAAGTGTCTCAATTCATCGGATCCATCCATCCCTTTCCAGCGACCGAAATTCCTTCAACTTTTTATCATCAAACTTCGGACGTGTTTCTTGTGTCATTTCAGCATCGATTATCATTTTTCACTTATAAAATATTCCCAGACAACAATCTGTACACTATTACTGATCACAAGTAGCCATTCACAAAATATTCCCTTCGAAATAGATTCCTTAGCCTAATGAATTCGAAGTGTAACCGCCATGCAAGCCGATTTACTCCTTGCGTCATTTTTCAAAATCTACGACGGACGGTTAGTGCAATAATTTAAATTCGAAAATATTCAATTGTCTGTCTCAAATGTATATACGAGATAAGTTATAAATAACAAGTTTATAAACTTCAATGGGAATTGAAATTGGGTCGGTACGTGATCAAATCTTCTGAGAAGGCCTTCGGACTTCACAGGATTTGATCACGTGACCGACGCACTTCAATTCCCATTGAAGTTTATAAACTTGTTATTTATTAGATCACCTGAGCCGAAGGCTCAAGTGAGCTTTTCTGATCAAAATTTGTCCGTCGTTTGTCGTTGTCGTTGTCGTCATTGTTGTCGTCGTAAACTTTTCACATTTTCATCTTCTCCTCAAGAACCACTGGACCAATATCAACCAAACTTGCTACAAAGTATCCTTGGGTAAAGGGGATTTAAGTTTGGTCAAATGAAGGGCCACGCCCTATTCCAAGGGGAGATAATCATAAATTTGTTAAAAATTAATGGCATTTTTAAAAAATCTTCTTCTCAAGAACCACTGGGCCAGGAAAGATGAAACTCATGTGGAATCATCCTCAGGTAGTGTAGATTCAACTTTGTTCAAATTATGACCCCCGGCGGTAGGGTGGGGCCAAAATGGCCGACCAAAGTTTTACATAGGAATATATAGGGAAACCTTTTAAAATCTTCTTTTCAAGTTTTTCAAAGCCATGATTAGTAATATTGATATGGAATCATCCTCAGGTAATGTAGATTCTAGTTCGTTCAAATCATGATCCCCAGGGGGGTTAAAATTCAAGCCCCCTCCAACCTCAGTAAACTTTAGTTCTGATCTGATATGTGCTTTTTCCTAGCCGATGTGCTCAGGTGAGCGCTGTGACCCCTGGGCCTCTTGTTTCTTAAATAACTGGAGATGAAAAAATTTGTATTATTTGATTCTTTATTTTTAGTTCACCTGAGCTGAATGCTTAAGTAAGCTTTTCTGATCGTATTTTGTCTGGAGTCCGTCAGTCTGTCTGTAAACTTTTCACATTTTTAACTTCTTCTCCAGAACCATGGGGCCAATTTCAACCAAACATGCCACAAAGCACCTTTGGGTGAATGGGATTCAAGTTTGTTCAAATAAAGGGACATGCCTTTATTCAAGGGGATATAATTCAGAAATAGTGAAAATTTGGTGGCTTCTCAAGAATCACTGTGCCAGGAAAGATGAAACTTTTAGGGAAACATCCTCAGGTAGTGTAGATTCAAGTTTTTACAAATCATGACCCCCGGGGCTATGGCGGGGCTACAATGGCTGATCAAAGTTTTACATAGAAATATATAGGAAAATTCTTTAAAAATTTTCTTTTCAAGAATAGCAAATGCATGATTGATCATATTTATATGGAAGCACCATCAGGTAGTGTAGATTTAAGTTTATTCAAATCATGATCCCCGGGGCTAGGGGGGGGGGGGTTTGACAATGGCTGAAAAAAGTTTTATATGGAAATATATATAGAAAAATTCTTTAAAAATATTCTTCTCGAGAATAGCAAAGCCATGTTAAGTCATATTTATATGGAAGCATCCACAGATTGTTTAGATTCAAGTTTGTTCAAATCATGACCCCGGGATAGGTGGGGTCACAATAGCAAAGTTTTACATAGAATTATATAGGAAAATTCTTTAAAATTCTTCTTCTCAAGAACAGCAAAGTCACGATTGGTCATATTTATATGGAAGCATCCTCAGATTCAAGTTTGTTCAAAACATAACCCATTGGGGTAGGGCGGGACCACAACATAAGTTCAAATTAAAGGGCAATTAAGCCACAGGTAGTCAAAGAAATATGCAAGTATCCTTAGTTAATGTAGATTCAAGTTTGTTCAAATCATACCCTCTCCCCTTTAAGGATTGATTGGGACCTCTTTTGGGTTTAAACTTGTTAATAATAAACTGATTATTTCCTAGCTCAGGTGAGCGATGTGGCCCATGGACCTCTTGTTTCACATTTTACTTGGGCCCATAAAAGCACGAGTTCCTACATATTCTTGCATGCTAACCTCTACAGTTATAGAAAACATGTAAAGAATATTTTAAGATCCCTACTAAACTTATTTAAAGTGAACTTATATTATTAGTCTAAGGCCATTTTTTTTTTATTAGTTGTTTTTCAAGACTTTTTTTGAAAAAATAAGGTCAGTCGGTCGAAAAAAAAGAAAAAAGAAAAAAAAAGACATGCAGTTGAAAAGTGGTCATACTAAACAGATTAATATGATAGTGTTTTTTTTAGAGTACACTAGTATTAAATATTTCAAAATCCTCTACATGCTTTTTGTATGCCATTCTACTTTAGTTTAACATAATGACATATTTTAAACAAAAGATGTATGTTCTCCTAAGTTTAGTAGTAATTTTAATTTTTGATTTGATGTTGCAATTTATCGTTATCATCATGATCTAATTTAACTTGGAATGGTTCACTGTTAATGTGAAAAAATATTTACGTAATGCAATTAATTTAACTTAAGATGAATAAAATTTAGGTGATTGCAACTACACCTGTGGTAATTAAAATCAATTTAAAAAGTTTAATCCTCACTTGTAAAATTGAATCATATATAAATAGTAGTTATGATAGAAATTCAAAATAAAAATAAATTCACCGGTAAATCATTTTCACGTTCTCAGTGGGTATTGCACTTCCTGACCTATATACTGCATGTGTTTACCATTAACAAAAGAATGGAGGAAATTCGGATTAGGAAAAAAAACGAACATTTTTAGAAGTAAACAAGTCAAGTAGAATTGCAAAATAGATAAGATTGTGGATATTTACGAAGAATAGAAGCATACTGTATTAAAAATTTTCATTTATTGAAGACATCACATTAGATCAGAGAATAATTAATTAATGATTTAATCAGGACAAGCCCTCACAACAATCGGTCACATGGACCGGTGGTACAAGATCTACAGTGAATTTCATCACAGAAATTTCGATTTTCTATCAGTTTTGCTGGTAGGACAAATAGTTTTTGGAAACACTGTTTTGATGACTTGCGTCTTTTTCATGGTCGTCACCATTTTTTGCAGCATGTGACACATTTTTTTCCCCAAAGTTTAGCTTCGTATTTTTCAGCGGCAATTTCAAATGTCAAAAAATAGCCTATCAAAAATTTTTTTTTTCAATTTCTCAAATTTTAAGTCGGCGGTCTTGAAAAACAACATAAAAAAAAGTGGCCTAAGAATCATAGATGTTTTTAGCTCACCTGAGCCGAAGGCTCAAGTGAGCTTTTCTGATCACATTTTGTCCGTCGTCCGTCCGTCTGTCCGTCTGTAAACTTTTCACATTTTCGACTTCTTCTCAAGAACCACTGGGCCAATTTTGACCAAACTTGGTACAAAGCATCCTTGGGTAAAGGGGAATTTAAATTGTTAAAATGAAGGGACGTATCCCCTCGCAAGGGGAGATAATCAAGAAAAGACAAAAATAGGGCTGGGTCATTAAAAAATCTTCTTCTCAAGAACCACTGGGACAGTAAAGCTGAAACTTATGTGGAAGCAGCCTGGGATAGTGTAAATTCTAAATTGTTCAAATCATGACCCCCGGGGGAAGGGCGGGGCCACAATGGGGAATCAAAGTTTTATATAGAAATATATAGGAAAAGTCTTTGAAAATCTTCTTCTCAAGAACCACTGGGCCAGAAAATCTGAAACTTATGTGGAAGCATCCTGGTATAGTGTAGATTCTAAATTGTTCACATCATGACCCCCGGGGGAAGGGCGGGGCCACAATGGGGAATCAAAGTTTTACATAGAAATATATAGGAAAAATCTTTGAAAATCTTCTTCTCAAGAACCACTGGGCCAGAAAAGCTGAAACTTATGTGAAAGCATCTTTGAGTAGTGTCGATTTCAAATTCTTCAAATCATGACCCCCGGGGGAAGGGCGGGGCCACAATGGGGAATCAAAGTTTTATATAGAAATATATAGGAAAAATCTTTGAAAATCTTCTTCTCAAGAACCACTGGGCCAGAAAAGCTGAAACTTATGTGGAAGCATCCTGGTATAGTGTAGATTCTAAATTGTTCACATCATGACCCCCGGGGGAAGGGCGGGGCCACAATGGGGAATCAAAGTTTTACATAGAAATATATAGGAAAAATCTTTGAAAATCTTCTTCTCAAGAACCACTGGGCCAGAAAAGCTGAAACTTATGTGAAAGCATCCTGGTATAATGTAGATTCTAAATTCTTCAAATCATGACCCCCGGGGGAAGGGCGGGGCCACAATGGGGAATCAAAGTTTTATATAGAAATATATAGGAAAAATCTTTGAAAATCTTCTTCTCAAGAACCACTGGGCCAGAAAAGCTGAAACTTATGTGGAAGCATCCTGGTATAGTGTAGATTCTAAATTGTTCACATCATGACCCCCGGGGGAAGGGCGGGGCCACAATGGGGAATCAAAGTTTTACATAGAAATATATAGGAAAAATCTTTGAAAATCTTCTTCTCAAGAACCACTGGGCCAGAAAAGCTGAAACTTATGTGAAAGCATCCTGGTATAATGTAGATTCTAAATTCTTTATATCATGACCCCCGGGGGAAGGGCGGGGCCACAATGGGGAATCAAAGTTTTACATAGAAATATATAGGAAAAATCTTTGAAAATCTTCTTCTCAAGAACCACTGGGCCAGAAAAGCTGAAAACTTATGTGAAAGCATCCTGGTATAATGTAGATTCTAAATTCTTCAAATCATGACCCCCGGGGGAAGGGCGGGGCAAAGTTTTATATAGAAATATATAGGAAAAATCTTTGAAAATCTTCTTCTCAAGAACCACTGGGCCAGAAAAGCTGAAACTTATGTGGAAGCATCCTGGTATAGTGTAGATTCTAAATTGTTCACATCATGACCCCCGGGGGAAGGGCGGGGCCACAATGGGGTATCAAAGTTTTACATAGAAATATATAGGAAAAATCTTTGAAAATCTTCTTCTCAAGAACCACTGGGCCAGAAAAGCTGAAACTTATGTGGAAGCATCCTAGTATAATGTAGATTCTAAATTGTTCAAATAATGACCCCCGGGGAAAGGGCGGGGCCACAATGGGGAATCAAAGTTTTATATAGAAATATATAGGAAAAATCTTTGAAAATCTTCTTCTCAAGAACCACTGGGCCAGAAAAAGTGAAGCTTATGTGGAAGCATTCTTGGGTAGTGTAAATACTAAATTGTAGGAATCATGACCCCCGGGGGAAGGACAGGGCCATTATAGGGAATCAAAGTTTTACATAGAAATATATAGGAAAAATCTTTGAAAATCTTCTTCTCAGGAACCACTGGGCCAAAAAAGCTGAAACATATGTGCCCATGGAAGGATCATGGGGTAGTGTAGATTTCAAAATGTCTAAATTATGATCAGTGGGGTAGGGTGGGGATGCATTATGTATAACAAGAGGGAAATCTGGTAAAGAACAGAATGATCAAAGCTTCTCAGGTGAGCGATGTAGCCCATGGGCCTCTTGTTCTTTCATTGCTATTTTGTTTTCAATCATTTTGCAACATTGAATTTTTTTAGTTTGCATGTAGAATTTTTGGGTAGACTTTACTTTACCGGTCCCCAGATCCGCAAGATCCTTGCGCTCATTGGACTATGACGTAACAACTATGTCACTCAACTGAAATAGCTTAAATTTGCACACTATTCTACTGATTAGGGTTAGTCTTGCACCCACCTGAGAGATTAGGGTTAGTCCTTGCACTAGTATTCGACTGATTAGGGTTAGTCTCGCATCCATTCGAGAGATTAGGGTTAGTCCTCGAACATTATTTGACTAATTAGGGTTAGTTTAGCATCTGCTCGGGAAATTTAGTATATACCTCTTTGTTCTTGCATACCATCCGATGGATTAGGGTTAGTGACTCGTTCTTTGAGATATGTTAAAAAATTCAGTTTCTGTAATTTTTTCAAGATCATAATTCAGATTCAAAGGCATTTCGTTCATTTGTTTACATGGAAGAATGGCTAAAGTCTGAAAGAAATGACACTTAGCATGCGCCACACGCACTTCGTTCAGAATTCTTCTTTGTCAATTTTTTCCATGAATAAACAATATTTTTTTTTTTTTTCAGAGAATGAGGTTAAAAACATTGTCTAAAAATGAAGTTTTAAACTAAACTTTTAACTGTAGAATTCAATTTTGGAGTCAAAAGGCCAAAAAATCTCATACTTAAAAATTCTATTGATTGCTCATGCGATTCTCATATATACTGAAGTCACCTTCGGTGACACTACATTTTAGCGCGGTTTTCTGGGGACCGGTAAAGTCGTTCCGAATTTTTAAATAAGACTATTAAAATTAACTTGTACTGTATCACAATACATAGATGATGATACGATATGAGTATTGTGAGAACTTATGATCAATAAAATCCATGTTTTGCTGAATTGTTACATCTCTAATCTCTAGATACATGTATTGGTGCTACATATACTTATATGGGAAAAAATTCAATGTACTTTATAGAAGGAGTAAATTTTTATATAAATAGGATCACTCTTTCCTACTTGGAGATTTGATGGTATTGCTGAAGGCTGTGGGAGCATGTGAATACCAAGGAGCCACTCTAGAGTTTTGTGAAAAACATGGTATCAGATATAAGGCCATGAAAGAGATCAGAAAACTACGAGCTCAGCTGACTAATTCTGGTATGCTCCAATATTTTTTAATCAATCATATTATCTATTTATGAGGTAATGTTGGAGGATCTAATAATGTCATCCAAAACATAATTATACCCCCGCTCCGAAGGAGAGGGGGGTACTGTAGATTCCTAATTATACGTGTTGAATTAATTGTGGCATAATTTCATGAGAAGTATCAACCGCAAAATAAATTTACTCGCTTTTATTTTTATAGTGCTGAAATATATGTAAAATCTCTTGATCATCCATCCATTCGCGAATTATTATTCTCGCTATTTGACGTTGTAGAGCCAATTCGCGATGATAAGTACTCGCGAAAAATAAGGAATCTACAGTATACTGGTTTACGCTTTATACCCATGCTCTGAAGGAGAGGGGGTATACTGTTTTAACTAGGGATGTCAATTTTATTCGGACAGCTAAGTTGAATAGTCAGAGGCTTTAGTCGAACGTTAGTCAAATATTCGTTGAAATTTTAATTATTTTTAAAATTTTTCTTTTCATTTTCAGTATTTGTCATTTAACTAGTTGTACGATATTTAACCTAGATTATCATCATTATATAATGAATTTCTGAATTGTAAACATTCACGTTGTACAATAAATACATATACATGTTTCTAATGTATTTTATTTACTTAACATTTTATCTAAATGCAGGATATCAAACGCTCGATCAAATTTGTCCTTTCTTTTCATATAAGTACAGGTACCCGATTATTGAAGCCATTTAGACATGTTTTGTCATTTACCTGCGACTGGTAAACAATGGAAGCGTGTCTGTTATAAAAAACAGAATGAGAGCTTGCGATAAATTTTAATTATGAGATTTTGTGCAAACTATCAATACAATCTTAAAATGATTGTATGTGATATTAATAGCAGAAAGAAACACCATTTAATTACGCTCATACCTGTCCTCAATTTACTTGTATTTACAATTTTTTAACTTCTTTATTAGGGGTGGGACGATATACTGATACACCGATACATATCGATATTTTCCTCCAAGATACGGTTTTCGATACAAGCATTCAAATATCGGTACGAAACGATACACGAACGCCCTATCCAAAAATTGAAAATGAAAGTACCTGTCCTTGGAAAATGGCGGCTTGTACGAGCGAAGAGATGATGTTGATATTGAAAACTCACTTTAGAACTAATAGGTTGTTGGTTAGGGGTAAAATGTTTTCACTTTTAAGCAGCCTTGGAAGATTGGTCGAAAGATTGGACAAGAAAAGTTCAGTATGTAATGCGTGCTATACACAGAAAATATCGTTTCCAGAATATTTGATATTATTAATTGTACCCATACCGAAAAAAGTTATAACTAAGTTATAACTAAAGTATAACTTAGTTATACCTAGCCTGTGAGGTACAAAAAAGTTATAACTAAAATGTAACTTTTTTGGACTTTGTCATTTTCATGTATAACTAAAATGTAACTTTTTGGACTTAGCCATTTTCATGTGTAACTAAAACATAACTTTTCTGGACTTTGTCATTTTCATGTATAACTAAAATGTAACTTTTTGGACTTAGCCATTTTCATGTATAACTAAAACATAACTTTTCTGGACTTTGTCATTTTCATGTATAACTAAAACATAACTTTTCTGAACTTAGCCATTTTCAAGCATTACCAGTATAAATTTACAAGTTTTGGGGGTTATTTAATGGATACTACTTGACACCAACTTTTTTTTTTCAAAAATAACATATATAACTAAGTGTTAATTTGAATGAATTTTGATCGTGTTCAAAATGTGTTTTTTTTTTCTCAAACACTGCAGCAGAAAACTTTGTCAATTCCTGAACAATAATATTGTTAAAACTACCAGTGATCAACTTCTCATTCATAATACCGGTAAATATGCTGTCCACAGCCATGTCAAGTTCAACAGAAGGAATGTGAAATAAAATCTTGTGAATTACATCTATAAATGAGAAACTCTCTCTCTCTCTCTCTCTCTCTCTGTGGTGTTTGAGGGTGTGTACACAGTACATGTCATGTGTGTGTAATAAATATTATTGTCTATTTAAATTGATATTTGTCATGTAAGTTTCAACTAAAGTTGAGAATAATTAATTTCTCTCTCTCTCCTTCTCTCTCTCTCTCTTAGAAAATACGTATTTATTGAGACCCTGATGAGACATAATATTTGTCTTGTAAATTATTATAATAATGCACTTACATCTGAAGTTGGGAATGAATATATTTCATAATTCTGGGGAAATATAAATGTACTGCAAGAGATATAAACAGTATGAAATGTAATCTCATGAAGTCTTCGTGTGCAAAACTGTGTAAATTTCCCTATTGTTTACTGTGAGACAGGTGTTTGTACTAGGTGACCTTTGTGGCCAACACATCGTAAATATTTCAGCTTGGGTATTACACAATCTCTGAATGGTACAATTCTACACAGGTTGTTTGAAATCTGCAGAAAATCAGTCGTAATATGGGTGGCTAAAAAGATAAACAGCAGCATAGAGTATGTGCATGTTCATGTTGAACAGATATTACGATGTTGTGAATAAAGACTGCCACTTATATTAAGATTTAAGCAGATGACTAGTACATGTAGATTTTATTGTTTGCATAAATAAATAACCCAGTTATAATAGTTATTTTCACGAATAAACAAATATTAAATTCAAAATGGCGGCAAATATGGCGGCCGCCGGCCTCCGATGTCCGTTTTGTTGATACTAAGATAAATTCAAAATTTTAACACCAACTGGTATTTATATTTTTAATTTAAGGTTGAAATTACACAATTAGGTTTATTTGCATTTAAAATAAATTAATAATGAATTATTTATTTATTTTTTTTCGATCACGTGACGTTTTTGAGTTCTATGATTGGTCAATAACAGAGCGCGGATTTTTCCATGGACGATTTGAATGTTTGGATGTTGAAAGTGTTGATAGAAAAAAAGGAGATAAAACCAGTTGGTAAGGCGATATTTATGCTAACATTTTATTGATTTTGGTAAAGTAGACTTAGTACCTCTGGAATAACATTCCAAAAAGAAGAAATATTGGGAATGAACACAATTCTAGGCGTGTGAATCTTAGATTTCTTGTTTGTTTTGATTGGTATGTCGAATGACAAAGACTGAAGTAAACAAATTGAAAGTATTTGAAACGCATAATATTTTTCAGCATTTAGTATATTAATCAAATATGTTCTTTGTCATATTTATTCCCACAATTGTTTATAGATTCCCTGAACTGTTAAAATATTGTGAAGCCTTATACGCATCAGCATGATCATAACATGATCTAGCTGCAATGTTAATTAATGCAATGAAATGAGCAATTTAACATTAATTTTCTTTTTTTTTTATATAAAGCAGAATATTGGTACATGATGTTTCCATGAGCTGAATCTGTCCTGCCCTGGAGTACATGAAATTCTTCACAATATTACTTGTTTAAGGTAAAGTAATTTTTTTTTCATTTCAAAATTCAATAAATCTTTCAATCTTAAAAACTGATTCCTGTAAGTATAGATCTTAAATTAGTCTTGTATTTTCCATGTTTTGGATGAATTAATGAATTTGAATTAATTGATATGGAAGAGTGTTTTCAATTTGATATGCAAATGAGTGCTGGAAAAATACTATCTAAATATCTTTAATCTATATTTTGAACCTTTACAATTTTTTGCAGAATTGAAGAAAAGGTTAAAATTGCAAGCATATTTCAACGAAAACTTAGCCGACTACCAGTCACACTGCCCACCAGCCAAGACGTCTGACCAGCTAAAATGAGGGACGCAGTCCACCAGCCAAGTCCCTCGGCCAGCTCGGCTGACCCAGTGCGGCCTGTCAAGGGATGACCAAGTCCATCAACTAGCTCGGCTGACTACCAGTGCAGCCTGTCAAGTCCTTCAACTAACTTGGCCTATTACCAGTGTGGCCTGTCATTGAACAACCAAGTCCATCAACTAGATTGGCTTACTACCAGAGCGGCTTTTCAAGGGATGGTCAAGTCCGTCAACTAACTTAACCTACTACCAGTGCCGCATGTCAAGAGATGGCCAAGTTCGTCAACTAGCTCGGCTTACTACCAGTACGGCCTGTCAATATAGGGATGGTTAAGACCATTGACTAACTTGGCCTTCTACCAGTGCGGCTTGTCAAGGGACGTTTAAGTCCGTCAACTAACTTGACCAACTACAGATGCGACCTGTCAAGGGATGGCCAAGTCTGTCAACTATCTTGACCAACTACCAGTGCGGCCTGTCAAACGATGGCCAAGTCCTTCAACTAACTTGGCCTACTACCAGTGTGGCCTGTCAAACGATGGCCAAGTCCTTCAACTAACTTGGCCTACTACCAGTGTGGCCTGTCAAACGATGGCTAAGTCTGTCAGCTAACTTGGTCTACTACCAGTGCGGCCTGTCAAACGATGGCCAAGTCCTTCAACTAACTTGGTCTACTACCAGTGCAGCCTGTCAAATGATGGCTAAGTCTGTCAGCTAACTCAGCCAACTTTCAGTGCAGCCTATCTTCAAATAATAAAGATAAACAACTGTACACCTGCAAGGATACCTGTGCAAGGAGGGTGGTATGCAGCTAGAAACTGTGACTGAAATCGCTGTTTATAGAAACTTTCTTTTTTTTTTTTGAAATACAGCTAGATCAAAAATAAATAGGGTGTTAATATTTAAAAATTAGTGATGTCTGTTTATACAATTAGCAAGAGTAGAATGCAGTTTGCTAGGTAATTTTACAAAGACCCTAATTGCTATATGTTAAAAATGTATTCTTTAAAACAACCAGAGAAATTTCAATCTGTTGTAGATGACATGATGTAAAATAAGGTACACTTGAATTTTTAAAACAATTGCATGTGCATTCATTTAGTTGTATTTGACAATAAACCAAGCTATCTTTATCGTGTTTGTTAGGTAAAATTGTTATTGCCTTTAATATGTTTTAAATAATCTTTTTTGTATAAATTTCAAAAATCTTTTTTTTTTTTTTTTTTAAATTTTAATGAGTAGCTTTTTAAAAGCTTATAACTGAGTAAATCCACAACAGGTTAACAGTGTATAATTTCACTGGAACTTTTACGAAAGTTTTTATTAATAGGTATAATTTTTTATAGTTATAACTTTTTGCAGTTATAACTTTTTTTAGGTATAACTTTTCTATAACTTTTTCATAACTTTCTTGGGGTATAACTTTTTTGTAACTTTTTCATAACTTTATAATAGGTATAACTTTTTTTAGTTATAACTTTTCCTGGGTATAACTTTTTCCGGGTATAACTTTTTTGTAACTTTTTCATAACTTTTTTGTGGTATAACTTTTTTGTAACTTTTCCACTGTTTATTTGGGTATAACTAAAGTATAACTTTGTAACTATTTTATAACTTTTTGTGTAACTTTTAATAAGTATAACTTTTTGTAGTTATAACTTTTTTATAACTTTTATGTACTTGCTGTATTTATGTTCAATAAAAGGTGAAAAGTTATGAAAAAGTTATAACTTTTTTGTAACTAAGTTATAACTAAATTATACCTCACTTAAAACATGCCATTCCAAACTCCGATAACTTAGTTATAACTTTTTTGTAACTTTTTTTAGTTACAAAAGTTATAACTAAGTTATAACTTTTTTCGGTATGGGTTGGTACATCTTGTACTTTTTTTTGTAATCTCAACTTGGCTACAGACTTTCAGCAATGAATTAATAAAAATGTAAATGTGATAGATGTTTTTTGAATTTTTTGTCAGTGTTCTCTGATAAACTACACACAACTATTTGTAAACAACTTCTGAATAGTAATTTGGTTATAATAGTATGTACATGTATTATTGTTTTTGTAAAGTTTTAGTCAATTAAATTGATGAACTTCAAGTATTAATTTCAAAGCAAACATGACTTGATATAGAATAATTTGTTGATTTAATTAATGTCAAGACAAAAAGAAAAGAAATAAAATACTAATTTTTTTGAATAGTTTTATAATTTCTCATAATATCGAGATACGTATCGTATCGTGCCAATATATCAAGATACGTATCGTATCGCATGATATGTGTATCGTCCCACCCCTATTCTTTACACGTAGTTGCATTATGTCAGATCTTATGGAATTGCAAGTTGAAACTTTATAATTTAAATCTACAAAAAGCAAACAATTCTGATAATCATATTTGTGATAGCAACATTTTCTTTCTGGCTCTTTTTCTGTCATTTTTGAGGAGAACTTCATAGGAAAGTTTTACTTGAAGACTGTTTATGTTTGACAGATTCGGCATGTAATACATAATATTTGATGTTCCACTGCAGAATACAAGTTCGGTTTCGAATAAAGTGGATAACTTATTTTTAACTGTTTTCCATCCTGACATCTTTTACAGGAATCCAAAAGTATAGATTTTCAAGGCATGTTTGCCGAACGTAAATCAACATGCAAATAATTTCCTTTGAACAGTTAAAACTTACTTATGAGAACATTGATCTGTAAAGAAATGAAATATGGGTAGATCCAAGTTTATTACATTGAATTTTAAATTACTATTAGGTAACAGATTTTTATCTGCATGATGCTAAGTCATCATTTCCAACAAATGAAAATTTTACACAAAGGTAGCAACAGCATATGTTTTTTAAAGGAAAAGTTTTAGAAAAGAGAACAGTTTGATTCTTATGATGTTATATGTAATAACAAAGAAGAAAGAGTAGTAAACACTTCGCGATCGTTTAGCATATCCCTTACCAAAATACTCACCTTCTGGCAACATCTTCTGGCATTATTGCCGCAATATTGCAGCAACATTCTGGCAATACATTGCAGCAATATTGCCGCAATATCGTTTTTCATATGTAAATTAGATTTGCGGCAATATTGCCAGAAAAGTGTTGCGGCAATATTGCTGCAATATTGTAGCAACATTCTGGCAGTACATTGCAGCAATATTGCGGCAATACCGTTTTTCGTATGTAAATTAGATTTGCGGCAATATTGCCAGAAAGGCGTTGCGGCAATGTTGCTGCAGTGTTGCTGCAAAGCAATTGCAGTACATGTATTATTTCAGGTTTTGCTGCAGCAATATTGGGGCAACACTGCAGTACTACCTATATAAATTGGTATTTAATAGAAAAAATTATATAAAAATCAATAGCATAGTAAGCTACTGAGTCAGTAAGAAATATCTACTTAAGCTTATGCTATTCTTTGAAAAGATTTTGTTGAAAAAAGATGTGTTTTTGAAACAAGCGGCAACAGCATATGTTTTTTAAAGGAAAAGTTTTAGAAAAGAGAACAGTTTGATTCTTATGATGTTATATGTAATAACAAAGAAGAAAGAGTAGTAAACACGTCGCGATCGTTTAGCATATCCCTTACCAAAATACTCACCTTCTGGCAACATCTTCTGGCATTATTGCCGCAATATTGCAGCAACATTCTGGCAATACATTGCAGCAATATTGCGGCAATATCGTTTTTCATATGTAAATTAGATTTGCGGCAATATTGCCAGAAAAGTGTTGCGGCAATATTGCTGCAATATTGTAGCAACATTCTGGCAGTACATTGCAGCAATATTGCGGCAATACCGTTTTTCGTATGTAAATTAGATTTGCTGCAATATTGCCAGAAAGGCGTTGCGGCAATGTTGCTGCAATGTTGCTGCAAAGCAATTGCAGTACATGTATTATTTCAGGTTTTGCTGCAGCAATATTGGGGCAACACTGCAGTATTACCTATATAAATTGGTATTTAATAGAAAAAATTATATAAAAATCAATAGCATAGTAAGCTACTGAGTCAGTAAGAAATATCTACTTAAGCTTATGCTATTCTTTGAAAAGATAGAAAAATTTTGTTGAAAAAAGATGTGTTTTTGAAACAAACGGCAACAAAGTTTGAAAAACCATTATTAGCATATAGGTCACAGTCAAAGTCACAAGGTCATTCGACATTGATCTTGGAGTCATTTGAAAGAACTTAATTAGTGGAATATGCATCCTAAATATGAAGTCTCTATCTCTTATGGTTCAAAATTTATGGTGGAGGTTTAAAAAGGCTATTTTTAGCATACAGATCACAGCAGAGTTCACAAGGTCATTGACCTTGATGTCATTTGATTGAGCATAATTAGTGGAGAATGCATACCAAATATAATAAAAGTTGCCATCTTTCATGGTTCAAAAGTTATGTCGAAGGTTTGAAAAATCTATTTTAAGCATATGGGTCACAGCCAAGGTTCTTGTCAAAGACCTTGGTGTCATTTTAAAGACCTAAATTAGTTGAGTATGCATACTAAATATATAGTCTCTATTTCTCATGGTTTTTAAATTATGGCGAATATTCAATTAAAAAAAACTATTTTTAGCATATAGGTCACAGTCAAGGTCACAAGGTCATTGACCTTGGTGTCATTTGAAAGCTAGGACTTAATAAGTGAAGTACTATGCTTACCAAATATGAAGTCTCTCTCTCTCTCATTGGTTCAAAAGTTATCACTTATGGGGAAGGTTAAAGTTTACAAACAGACTGGACAAAACAATATGTGCCCCCAATCTATCAATCCGGGCACACGAAAAAATGTGTATATAAAAAATATTAATATGCCACTGTGAAAATGTCCAGCAACTCTGCATCATTTTTCAATTAACTTAGCTAGCGCTAATTAATTTGCTGCTCATCACATATTCCCCAATGCCAGCTATTATAATCAATATAATGTATAATATATAGCTTGTTTGTAATTTCCAACATATAGAATCATTCTTTTCTTGCAGGTATTCAAATTTATGCCATAAATTATGTTCATGCATTTAACTGATACAATGCATTCATCTTTTCCTGCAACAATAGTATGTCATATATATATATTAGACATACAAGTATATTATACATGTACATGCATCACAAGCACTAGTTGAAATACATATAATTTTTTTTATTTTATCTCCATAGAATCATTCATCTAAAAAAGAAAATGGTTTTGACTTACCAAGTTTGATATATATACCATGAAAACAGAGTTAGCCATTCGTATAATTTTCAAAAGGCCATGCCATGGAAACTGCTGAAATTCTTTTTTTCTGGCTATTCCACATTATTCAGTCTTACTAGTCATCATGTCTAATCCTATTGTACACAATTAACAATTCCAATTAACTTGATACCATTCAATAATGAAGCAAAACATGCTTGCCTTTGAATTCCCTCCATTTTATTTAAAAACAGGAAGTAAATGACTGAGCATGCTCATAAATGCCTATATTGCAGTATTGCCAGAATGTCATCAGAAGTTGTTGCCACTAGCGGTGATATTTCACTAACCCAAAAAGCTTGTTTCTGGAGACAAAAATGTGTTGCTGCAATGTTGCCGCAATATAGCGGCAATATTGTTGCAATAATTTTATTTTGGTAAGGGATGGGAAACCATCTCCGGCTGATGTAACGTTAAAATGATGTTGTGATGCTGCTCCAGGTCGATAGACATGTGCATGTTTATAATTTCACCAAAAGTTATCCAATTAATTATCATAGCTAGGATTTAGAAAATTTGCATTACTGTTTTATTCATTTGTTATAAAATGTTGATGAATTTCATGAAATTATCTCTGTCCTTTATGGAGTAAAGGTAAATGTCTCAATAATTTCCGAACAGCCCTTGTACATAATTTTATGTATCTTTTTTTATTTCAATGAATAGTGCTGCCACGGTTACTAAAACTAGAAATTCTTTTAAATACATGTACTTTCAAAATGCTACTTTTCCTACAGTTGTGGTCTTATTTCAAAATAGCTTGGCTAGTAAAAAATGTAACATTTTAGGATTAGCTACTCTCAAAAATTAGTTAGGCTGGTTCAGCGATTGTTTAGCAATAAAGGTATTCCACCAGGATTTTTTTTTACTTATCTGTCCTTATAAATTCTACAGTGATCGATCTTGCATTGTATTCAATAGCACATTTGCCCCCATCCAACAGACGTTTCCTACCTCCATCATGAAAGAGTTCAACTTAGTTAAGTAATCATGATATCAAGTATTTTTGTCATAAAATCACATTTTTAGAACAGTAGGCATTACAGATGATAATAATTGGGTACTGTCACACATATGATAAGGGCTCCTATCTTTACTAAAGTAGGGCTGTGAGCCTTAAACAAGGGGGGATGATTAGGTAAATGAAACTAAAAGTACTGTTTGCTGAAAAAAAGAAGCACTAGGCAGATTATCACCAAACTTACATACAATCATACAAAGATGAGGATATGTTGAAGAGGAAAACTTGTTCAAGGCATCACCCTGGGGCATATGGTCTCAAGGTCACTTCAAAGTTGACCAAAAATTACACTTTATAAAAACATTAGTATTTTGCTTACTATGAAGACTGCATGTAGGATCGTCAAATTTTGTTAAGTTGATGCATCTTAGGACATCATATCATGAGAAATTAAAAGTAGGTCACCTTGACCTACTTTTAAGCTCACCTTGAGCTGAAAGCTCATTGACAAGTAAAGCTTTTACCAGATGTCTGTTGTCTGTCTGTTGTGCTTTGGGGTACCCATTTCTTATAGTAATGCAACTAGTCTAGTCAAATTATCAAATTTTCCATCAAAATGTGAACTAATTGCAACAGTTTCAAAACTTAGTTTTTATCAATCTATGGTAT